CCCCAAAACCCCAAAACCCCAAAACCCCAAAACCCCATCAAGAGCAATTTACCAAATGAAAGTGATATTAAATTTCTTATATTTTAATCTTAATGTCAGTTTACAATGGCTTCGCAACTAGGAAGCAAGAGTCATTTTATAACAAACTTTTGTAAAAGCTCATTCATTTATTGTCCAAGAAGATACTTTCTGCTATTCCTTATAAGCACATAGATACAATTATTCAAGATCAAGAAAATGATTCTATTATGATAAACACTGAAAACCAAAGAATGAATTTTAAGAATTTGTAAATTAACAACAACCTAACAGAAAACTACCTGTCAACTCAGCAGGATTCACCTTCATCTTTGACAGAGACATCTAGACCGAGATCTCAAATCAATTAGAATATGGATGCTCTGGACTTAAAGCAGAAAAGTCCAAAGAAATACCTCAAGTTTAACCAGTATAAGTGGGCATAGCAGGTTGTCATGATATTCAAGCATATGACCTTAATGGAGAAGAAGAAATACTTAGAGCCACATTTCTCTAAGGAATTGGTTACACTAGTTAAATTCTGCTTGAAACAATATAAAATCTCAGTGGGTTAAGAAGAATTAGATATCATTGAGAACGAAATGCATGGAAATGATGATGAAAAAGATTTTCCTGATAATGAGATAAATAAAAGAGCTAATGAAAATAAGTAAAACGATGTCAGTTTTATGACAAAATTTGATAAAAGTCCTCAACTCCAAAGCAAACAAAGAGCTGGTTTTAACTAAGCAGAGTCTAGTCCGAAACTTTTGTAAATTTCATAGTAAAATTAAAGCTTCAATCTTTCTTAGAAGACTGCTACAAATTAAAGGTTAAGATCATTGAACGCAATAGAGTAATAAAACATATCTTAAAGTAGTATTGGTACTGTTGGCAAGTATTCTATCAATTAATTGCTTCATGCTAGCAGAAATCCTAATTAGAACCAAGTTCTCAGTGTAACTAACTAAAATAGGAGCTTTGTCATTAGAAAACGTCCTCTGACCTCAAAGATGAGAGGGCTGAGTTAATAAATGAATAAATAGTCAATTTAAAATATCAAAGAGCAGCATATTAATCAGTAGAGTTTAAACTAAATTGACTCTAAAGGACCAAAGCTTTCAAATATCGAATTCTTTAATAGGTCAGAGCTCAACCTATCCTAGTTTGATACTATCAATAATAGAACAATAAATTTGGAATCAGGATAGTAATCTAGGAACACATTAAATTTCGAGCGTCCTCGGAGTAATTATAATAACTGTAGCATCAGTAATGCGCACAATACTTTCAACTCTGCCACATTGAACTAATTAGATAGAGAGGGGACAGTTAGAAAATTCAAGTCAATCATTAGCTCTAGAAAGATGAGATCACTTGTTTTTAACCCCTAAAAATTGAAAACCAAGAATTATTTGATCCAGACTAACATTGACAATACTACAACTTTGATACCAACTGAGGTAGTATAAACAAGAAGGACTCATTCTAGGAAGTAGTCTAATGGCTATGGTCTGATAAATGCTAACAATTACTCATTTGATCAGAGATTCACTCATAAAAATTAACCACAGTATTTCAGATTTAAGAAAATCAAGAAATCAACGGAAAATATGAATGGCTTATCTGCTAAAGCCAAACTTAGAATTAACATTAAACGAAATGCTGCCTCTTAATAATCACATAAGAGGAATTCTAGTGCAATGAGTAGAAACAGTAATGGAATAGGACATTAAAAGTTTCATATCATGCTGCTAAATCAAACTGCAGATTAAGGGAGAAGAGATAAATTAAAGTAAAGACTAACAGATTTTGATAGCAACATAGTTTATGATTAAAAGATGACGAGAGATATGTTGACTTAGATATTGAAAAAAAATTAATCAGCTGCCAAGACAATGAATAATTACATCCTAAATAACAAAGATATCAATTATGATTCTATGCACGACTAAAATTAAGCAGAGCCTTAAAAATACAAGTATTAACCGAATTTATGAAGTATAATTTAAATATCGATCTTTTGATGATTATTATAAAATACTCTAAGTAATATCTTAATTTCATAACTACAATCATTTATATCATTTTTAATTCTGAGAAGATTATTTAAATTTTAAAATGATAACATTGGTTTGGAAAAAGGAAGATGTTTGCCAGAGTAATTAATTAATATTCATAATTATCTTAAGGTGCAAACTATCCCACATCCAGAGAAGGGCACAGTTTCACTTACGTTACAGCATTGTAGCAATACTACTTGTTTGGAGGTATTTCAAGCAAAAGACATAATGAACTTTTTGTATATGACTCCAGTAAGTGTAATTAAAGTAATTATTTTAGTAAGCAATAGCTGGAACCTAATTGATTCAAAAGGCAAAGGGCCACTTGCAAGATGCTATCACGTAGCTTGGTATGATGGTAAGTCCTTTATTATTTTACCTGAAAATAGATCCACATTTCTTCATATATGGAGGAAAATAATCTGATAAGGGTTAATTGAGTGATGTGTATTGTTATAACATTCAGACTATGAATTGGAAAAAATTCTTTTCAATGGAAAGTCCATTGCCTAGATCTTAGCATGCTGCTATTAATCCCTAATCAGGTATTGGGCTGATATTTGGAGGGTACTGTGCCTCTAAGAATCTGCTTTTGAATGATATGTGGAGTTTTGATTACAGTGCAGTGCCATTTTCGACTTCTAAGTCACATGAATTACCAGGAGGGCAATGGACCAAGATAACTTAATAAGGTAATATTCCAAGTGGACGCAGAGGTCATACACTCACCAAGATTCCCAATTAACAGAAAGCGATAATGTATGGTGGATTTACCTATCTCAGTAATGCAGCAGGCTAATTGCAAGATAATTAGTTCTACATTCTAGATCTTCAAAACTATAGCTGGAGTATCTTAAAGTTTATGGGCTAATATCCTGAACCAAGGGGATTACACATCTTATAGTTCTTTAAAGATACCTAATTCATCATATTTGGAGGTATATCTACGGATGACTGCTAAGGTGAAGAGAGACCAAAAGTGTTTGATGATTTTCACATGCTTGACTTGAAAGATAACTTCTTCTCAGCACCATTCACTGCTAATATCAGACCTTCAGCCAGATATGGACACTGTTGTGACTCTAACTTATCATCGTTCAATTAGAAGCATGATGATGATATGATGCATGAGCTAGTTATTCTTGGAGGACTTGATTCATAGTACTGCACAATGGATCCTTACATATTATAAGAAAAGATAATCACTGAACATACAAAATGGGAACTAACAAAAGTATCCAAAGTAAAAACCGATACCACTAGTAATATGGAATCAACAATCAAACTTGCGAATAAAAACATTATGGAAAATAGAAAGATAATAGCTTAGTTAGAAAGGAATCTGAGTGATATGTCAGAGGAATTAGCCTCACTTAAGTATAAAAAGAGATAGATGGACGATGAGCTAGAGACTAAGGTTAAATCTTACAAGGAAGCAGTTAAGCAATTCAAAGAAAAAGACCGCAAACTTATTCAAGATAAGCAAAGGCATGAAGACAGAATAGCTGGAATGCAGAATCTTATAGAATTAGAATAGAAAATGTAGGCAGTCATTGTCCGCAAGATAGATGTGATTGAAAAGAATTTTGCAAAGAGTGAGATGTTCTTAATGACCCTTGATACATTCTTGAACACAGCTAAGTAGAAAATCAATCAATCAGGAGTAGGTGGACCAGCAGGAGGCCCAGGAGAGGTTGACTTGGCATTCCTTGATAGCCAAAAGAATTAGCACAAGTAGAATTTGAAATAGATTGTGCATTACTATCAGAACTTTGAAAATAATCATAAGCAGATTACTGATAAATTGAAAGAGCAAAGACAAACTTAGGACAAGTTTGAAGAAGAGATGCTTTAGCTGCATGAAATATAAGTGGATAGGCATTAGCTTTGTGATAGACTTAGAAGTATTGAATGAAATAATTATAAATAATAGAATTTTAAAATTGATAATTATAATTTCTTAACAATTAATTTCTTAATTCTTGAGTAAATAAATCTATTTCATTTTTAATTACTTAATTCTAGAAGCTAGGGGTTTTGGGGTTTTGGGGTTTTGGGG